GGGGGGGGGCCTCACTGCGCTGGCGCCAGCCTCTGGCCCGGTTCCCTTCCCCCGGCCCAGCCCTGCCCCGAGGGGAGGAGAGCGCGGGAGGGGCCGGGGCTCTGCCCCCCCCCCAGAGCCGGGGGCCCGTCCGCAGGCTCCCCGCCCGAGTCAGGTCAGCCCCGGCCCTTCCCCGCGCCCTGGAGAGGGGCTCGCCGCCTCCAGCCCCGCTGCGGAGCGCTCCTGCCCCCCCGGGCCGGGCACGGCACCGCGCTCCGGGCAGGGGCGCAGCGCGGCCGGGCGCGCACGGGGCAGAGGCCCGGGCGGCGGAGCCGGGCTCTGCGCGGGGGCCGAGGGACGCGAACTCCCGCAGAGGATCCGCCCCCCCGTTCCCGAGCGGGGTCCCCCCACGGGGCGCCCCGGGCCCCGCACTCACCATGACGCAGCAGTGGCCGGGATCTCACGTGAGTCTGCGCGACGAGGTCTCGGTGAGAAGCTTCGCCTGCTGCAGTCCTGGCGCACCGGCCTTATATAGCGGCGGGGGCTGGGCCCGCCCACGGGCGGCGTGACGCGTATGACCGCACCCCACTGCCAGAGTCGCACAGGGGCGTGGTTTGTTCTGGGGGGGGGGGGGGCGGCCCCCCCCGTACCCCGAAAAGGGCCCCCTTAAGATTCCCCCCCCCGGGAAAGCCCATGGCATTACCCCCCCCGCCCAGGGGGAATGTGCTTCAATGTAGCAAAACCAGGTCTCTGAAAGGGGGATCTATGGGGAGCCCCTTCCCTTCCCACGCTGGGCTCCAGCCCGGCTGCAGCATCCTTGGGGAGCAGTGCAGCCGGGAGAGACCACCGGCCCCAGCATGCATGGCTGCAGCGTGCTCCCTGCAGAGAGCTGCATGGCCTGCCATCCCCCCGGCCCTGGCTCCAGGGGAACGCTACCCCCGCCTTCGGGCAGCCTCTGCTTCAATAGCTGGATCCTGGTCTCCCAGTCCCAGGAGGTCTCTAACTCTCGGGGAAGGGAGCCGATCCTCTCGCCCCTCACTGACAGTGGTGGGCCTGTGCCCAGGGGCCCCAGACAATGTGGGGGCTCAGGGTGTCGGGGGGCCCAAATGTTCTTCGTGCCCAGGGTGCCAATAAATCCTAATCCACCTATGCTCACTGAAGGTGTGTAGTGCTCCGCCTTCAGCAGAGGGAGCTTTGCTGGGGATTTGAGTTAAATGCAGGTTAACAAAGCCAAAGCGAACGCAGAGCACTGCAAAGTGTTTCACTTACCCCTCGCCCACCTAACCGGGCTCACTGCTTCGGCATCCGTGATGCCACAAACCTACCCGTTCGGCAGTCGCCCATAGAGCCTCCCAGGAAAACCAGGTGAGACAAGACCCGAATGGCTAAAGGAAACACAAGCAGAGAAAACACTTTAGAAGCAAAGAAGAATTTTCCAGGCCTCTGAAGATCAGGGAGAAGGCGGTAATAAAAAGGGGCCCCGTTCCACGGCCATTCCTTTGGCAGGTCCCCTCGCAGACAGGGCAGCCCCCAGCTGCCCCCCGAAATCACTCCCTGAGCTGCATTTGGTGCCTGGGCTGCGCTTCTCACCCACTCTGCTAATTCCTTCCTACTCTTAATAAAAACGTATCATTTTCTAAAATGCTCGGAAACACCCTGCAGACCTGCGTTTCCATGCAATACGGGCTGCTCTCGGACTCAGCGAGCAGGGCTTGGGCAGCTGCTAGGAAGGTTTATTAGACCCCATTTATTAGACCTGTATAACTCACCTGTCCCGAGCACCAGCCAATCAAAGCCACCCAGCACCCCAGCATGTTACAAATCAACCCCAGCCTTTCTCAGCACCCTGACTTATGACTTTCCAGTGACAGGCTTGGTCATCTCCCTGCAGACACTTACACCCGCGTTGTAACTTCAACGCCAGGCCTGCAGAGGCACTGTAAGAGTTTGCTTTTTGATTAAGTCACTGGGACCCCATGAAAAGTGCTTCTTTTTTGGACAAATTAAAGTGCGGAAAGTGAGTGATTTAAACCTCTCAGGTCATTCCTGCCAACAGCACCGTTGCCATGAATGCTCAGAGCAGGTCGAATGGACGCTGTGCTTCCAAAGCAGCAGTGGGCTGTCTGCAGGGGGGTCCCAGTGCTACGAATGCTGCTGGAGCTGAACAGGGTCTAGCAGCAATGAGATGTTTTCCCAGAAATGTTTAAATTCATCCTGACACAAAGAAGGATGAATTTAAACCCAGGGAAGGTTGCTGGACTGCAGATGTCACCAACGGATGCAAACATAACAATCGAGGTGATAAGCAGTTAAGTCAGTCAACACAATCGTTCCCAGAGAGTCATGATCAATGGTTCACAGTCAGGCTGGAAGGGCATAACCAGTGGGGATCAGTTCTGGGTCCGGTTCTGTTCAATATCTTCATCAGTGATTTAGATAATGGCACAGAGATTACACTTATATAGTTTGTGGATGATACCAAGCTGGGAGGGGTTGCAAGCGCTTTGGAGGGTAGGATTAAAATTCAAAATGATCTGGACAAACTGGAGAAATAGTCTGAAATCAATAATACAAATGCAAAGTCCTCCACTTAGGAAGGAACAATCAGTTGCACACATACAAACTGGGCAATGACTGCCTAGGAAGGAGTCCTGCGGAAAGGGATCTGGGGGTCCTAGTCCACCACAAGCTAAATATGAGTCAACAGTGTAACATTGTTGCAAAAAAGTGAACATCATTCTGGGCTGTATCAGCAGGAGTGTTGTAAGCAAGACCCAAGAAGTAATTCTTCTGCTCTACTCCGCACTGATTGGGCCTCAGCTGGAGTATTGTGTCCAGTTCTGGGCGCCACGTTTCAGGAAAGATGTGGACAAAGTGGAGAAGGAGCAACAAAAATGAGGGAAGATTGAAAAAATTGGGTTTCTTTAGTCTGGAGAAGAGAAGACTGGGAGGGAGGGGACATGATAACAGTTTTCAAGTACATAAAAGCTTATTAGAAGGAGGAGGAGAAAAATTGTTCTCGTTAACCTCTGAGGACAGGACAAGAGGCAAGGGGCTTAAATTGCAGCAAGGGCGGTTTAGGTTGGACATTAGGAAAAACTTCCTAACTCTCCAGGTGGTTAAGCTCTGGAATAAATTGCCTGGGGAGGTGGTGGAATCGCCATCATTGGAGATTGTTAAGAGCAGGTTGGACACACACCTGTCAGGGATGGTCTAGATGGGAATGTGAGCTGGGACGTGGGGAGAATCAGGAGCAGGGGCTGTGGGTGGAGATGAGGGATTTGGTTGGGGAGGGACCAGGCTGCGTTTGAGACAGGGGACACGGTGGTGTCTTGCACAGCCCGGGAGGTGCCAATGCCTCAGCTCCCAGACGCTCGACTCTCTGGGCCCGGCTGCGCTGAGTATTCGAGCAGTAACTGAAAACCTGCAAATCTGACCCCCAGGAGCCCACAGCACTCAGCTGTGAACGGAGCTGCAGCTGCTAAGCTCTCAGATGCACAATGCAGGTCAAGGACTGACAGGTGGAGTCTGACAAGTGCCTGACACCTTTTGGGTGTTGTAAGTGCAGCCCAGGTCCCCACTGGTGTGAATTCTGCTGTGGAGGCATTTCAAAGAGTCCTTGCACAGGGATTTTCGAGTGAAATTGCCCCTGTGCAGAGGGCCAGCAGCAAATGGCCTAATCTATTGCTGGTGAAGTCACGATGGACTAGGGCTCAGAAGCACCATCATCAAATACTTTGGCACATTTTGCAGACAGCAAGACGGTTGGGTAATACATAGACCCAGAGGGTTAGAAGGGACCGCACGGGTCATCTAGTCTAATCCCTGATGAGATGCAGGACTTGTTGGGTCTAACCCATCCCAGACAGACGGCTCCAGCCTCCTCTCGAAAACCTCCAGTGAAGGAGCTTCCACAACTTCCCGAGGCGTCTGTGCCATTGTCCGACTGCTCTTCCAGTGAGGGAGATTCTCCTGAGATTGACTAACTCTG